TGATTATGCTGCAGAGAAAGCTCCTTATCTTTTAGGATGGTCATGGTTCTGATACTGAATCCCAGCAGGGAGGCGGAGCCTCCAGACGCGGCTGTAATGAGAGAACCCAGAGAGCGAACGCCTGAACGCATCGCCGCAGCAGGAAGTGCATTCAGACTCACTGTTCATGTTTTAAAGCTGTGAAGTTTATGATGTCAGGCTGCATGTTGCTGGTTTCTGCTTTGGGAACCGTTTACTTCCTGATTTAGAACCAGAAGTCTCTGTTACTGGAAGAACATTGTTCCAGAACCGGAATCAGATTTTCTGTCACAACAATCAGCTTCGCTTCATGATTAAAGTTACAAAAACTGGCTGAGTGTTCGGATGAAAAGGTGGAAGGAGTTAAAGTCAAACAGATCAATCTGCACCTGTATGGATGCAGGAGTTTGCCCTGCAACCCAAGAGTTGTCGGTTATATTCCCCATCCGGCTCAATCTCGTTGTCCTTCAGCAAGACGCCTCGCTCGTATTTCCTACCGATGGTTGTCGGAGGGCCCGGTGGCCCCCGTGTGCAACAGTTTGCTTCTGTCAGTGAGTTCGGTTTATTTCTATAGCTCCAATTCACATCATGTCAACTCAGGTCACTTTATAGAAATAAATCAACCAGATCATCCAGTCAGATTGATTCAAAGTTTTCTATCTAAGGAAAACCAGCTGATTGCATCGACTCATTGACTCTTCAGCAATCCCTCACACTAAGCATGCTTGTAGCGACAGTGGAGAGGAAAAACTCCCTTAGAACAGGAAGAAACCTCCAGCAGAATCAGGCTCAGTGTGAGCGGGACTTTACGATGCCTCACTCTCAATGCTTTTCTGCTAGCATAGCAGCAAGATGGCGCCCGTAACGGAGCGATGTTTTAATGACTGTTTCTGATGAGAGTCAGGTTGATGTTAACATCTTAAGGAATCACAGCTTTGGTGTCGATTCTTCCTAAATTGATGTATTTGCTCCACGCTTCACAGACTACAGGATTACAGAAACCTGAGCGCGGTGCTCAGGGTGTCTGCGATTGGTTGTCTGCGTCCCGTCAGGCTGGTCTGAGCAGTCTATCCTGTGACCATAAATACCTCCATCAAATTCAGGACCACCTCCCATGTCACTGATAGGAAGAGGCTGTGTTCTACTTCCTGTTGTGGTGCGGTGTAAAGCCTGGTTTATGCTCAGAAACCTGGTCGTCTGCGTGTGTCGCAGAGGAGGCCTCTGATTGGTCAGTTCTCCATCCGCTCTACTCTATGCGTATTTCCTGTTTGGTCCCTAATGGCAGAAGCTCTGGCTGTAGCTCCGCCCACAGCGCCTGGCTCACCTCGGACTCTATCCCAGACGCCGTGCAGGACGCTAGTTTGTAGCTCTGAGCGACGGTCTGTTGGTTGGAACCCGAAGCCAAAACCTGCAGCGCCGCGGCCGGTCTTTGGGGAACGGGGGAACTGTGTGTCGTCCGGCGTTGGATCAATCCTAGCTAGTTCCTGATTGTCCTTCCTGCGTTGTGCAGACCTCGCTTCAAGCACTCGCCCAGGCAGCAGCTTCGTCATCCAGGCATCAAGCTTAACCAGCAGCTCAGTGGTTCCCAGCAGAGATTTGTTGTTTCTGCCTTTTAGCGGAGAATCACACTGGGGAGGGAATAACAAACACTCCTTCTGGGGGAATTTCCTAATTAATCAACATTCATCCACTGAAACCCACTGGATCCAGTTCAGCTCCTTTTATTTCCACTCCATTGACTAATAATAAAATCTGTTCAGCAGCTTAACGTTCAAATCCGTCGGAGAAGTGAAAATGTCATAAAGGCACGTTAGGAATCCAAACACCTTTCAGAAACCCCCCCCTTCAGGATAAGATAAGCCTGCAGAGAGCCAGCATTCCTGCTCCATCACTAATCCAGCCTCTCCGCTCCGTTCATCTGTTCAAACATCTGAAGCTTCTCATGCAGGAACTACAGACGGATGCTGGAAGGAGAAGTTCTGGCGGGTTGTTGAAAGTTTGGACATTTCTGGAACCATAGAGGAAGAGGAACGGACCTGTTCCCCTCATAGTTCTGCTCTGACTGTGCAGATTAATGATTGGCCAGACGGAGCATAGCTGCACCCGCAGCGCCGCAGGCAACCTTTGGAGTGTTTACTGAGTGACTAAAGCAATCTGGCTGATGCCCCACCCTCAGAGCGGCCTGGGGGGACGGACGCTGAAGGTCGCCTGGTCTGTGGCGGACAGCAGCATCATCATCATCATCAGCATGATGCAGATTCCCTCCTTCTGCTTCCATCACGCTGAACATTTAATGATTATATGATCCATTGCTCCCCCCCCTCTGTGAGGTCTAGAAGAACAAGATCTACATCCATCCACTCTGTACATCTGATTTCTAACACCAGTTAGATGAGCCTTGAATGATTAATTACCTGCTGGAAGTTAAGTTAAAAAGTGAAGTTAATAAGTTAATAAACCTCGTTAACAGTTAGATTTAGGTTTATAAACTAAAACAGTCAGTGCTGGTATTAATGCCTCTAAGGTTAGGTCTTCTTTCACTCTCAGCCAGGGGCGCTTCCAGAATTGTGTCATGGGGGGGCCAGATGGGGCCACTAAACATCTTGGGGTGGCCCCTGAAACTGAAGCCATAATTTCAGGGTTTGTGTTGAACCTGCTGGTAGAAACCAGAGTTCAGTAAAAACCTCCTCAGATGTCGGTTTATTGGGATTCCATCGCTGGCTGAGCAGAACGGGAGGAAATGCTGAACTGATGCTGCTACTATTTACACTGGCAAGTGGGGGGGCTGTGGGGGGCCAGGGCATTAGGCAGGTTGGCCACCCCCCAGCATGTTTTTCATTAATTTTTTTCTTATATTTCTTAATATATTCGTTTCTTGTTATTATATTGACATTAAATTTTTGCCTTGAAAATCTCCATATTTTTAATGTTCCAAAGGTAATAATGTCTGATCCTGGATTCCAGTAACACTATTGGCTGGAAATGTACAAAGTTTTTCACTGGGGGGCCTCTAATGTTAGAGTAGAATCTCTGCTGTCGGCTCCTGCAGGTCTGACCTCTCATCCCTGGAGCTCGCTGCACAGCAAAACATCTCAATCTAATGAAGTGTTTTTTTTTTCTTAAAATACTGATTTTCTGCTTGAATCGAAGAGGAAAGTCAGACAGTTTTCATCTAAAATAATAATATAAACCACAGCAGTCTCTCATTTCGAGTGCATATTATCTAATTATATGAACTCGGCCTCCTTCCTGATGGAAGGTCCAGATCCCTCTGGCTCTGGGTGGGATGGATGGAATGACATGCAGCCATGGCGAGCTGGAGCGGCGGCTTCAATGATGAGGCATCTTTACATCCCGGCGTCAGAGGAGCCGCTGGTGGGTTCAGGCTCCGCACGGATATCAGAGACATGAAGGAACTGGAGCGCCGCCTCATGGGAACTGAAACGTGAGCCGGCCGCTGCTCCTCAGAACAATCCATCCTTTGTTTAGGTTTAGGGACGGAACGGCGAGAGGCTCGGCCCGATCCCGTCAGAACCTGAGCCCATACCTCCCACCCTGCAGGAGAGGGAGGCGGCCTAAAAACCAGCCTCAGGGAGGCTTTATTTAGAAGAAGGGTTTGCTATAAATGGAAAAGTCTTTGATAGAAAACAGTAAAAATAGGTGAAGCACAGCAGGAGGTCTGAGCCGTTAGCTGATGGTTGCCTAGCAACAGAACTCCCAGATTACTCTAAAAAGTCACTAAGAATGAACTCTGATAGTAACTGTAGTTTTAATTACAACCAAAGATTCAATTATGAAAAAATAAGGTTGCAATTAGGGCTGAAACAATTAATCAATTAGTTAACTATTAAAATAATCCTCAACTAATTCAGAAATCAGTTCATCTTAAAGTATAAAGATAGAAAAATGTGCCTTTAGCTGACAGAGCGACTCACTTAGCGCAGCAATTATACCAAAATTATTAAAAGATATGTCAACATTTTGCATTTTAGGTAAAAACAAACTTTTCTCCAGTCAGTCTGCTCTATAATCCACAACAAAGATTTAGTTTCACCTGGTTTATTTTCATAAAAAGGAACCTTTTTCTATCCGATTATTAATCAATTAATTGCATAAATAATTGATAGATTAAATAATCGCTGGTTGCAGCACTAGTTAGGATCTAATTCTGTAGATGTGATCATGCTTCCTGTTCATAATGAAGAAAAATAAGATTTTTGTTAACAAAGAAGTCCAATTTCTAATAAATAGAATATGTCAGTAGTTTCTGTTATTAGTGTGGAAACGTGTTCATACCTTAGCAACAGGACGACTTCATTAAAGATGGTTTTTTACCGCGTCAAACGGCGGCGACTCGGCCGTAGAAAGAGGCAGCAGATCCTCCATGAAATCGTCCTCCTGCATCATCACCTTGCCAGTAGCAGGTGGTTCATCCTGCAGGTGTTCCAGTAGACGTTCCCTCGGCCTCCATCACATACGCTGCATCTTCTGTTCAGATGTTTGATTCTTCTTGTTTCTAAAGATGAATTTAGTGCTTGGTTCATGAACCAACATGGCTTCCTCTCCCTACACCTGTCCTTCCTCCGCCTGCATCCATTAACCCTTCCCTGACTCCTCAGCAAGGCTTGGTCTGCATCAGTAGATCCTGGGAGGTGTCTTCACTGAGCAGTTAAACGGTGGGTTGTTTGAGTTTCCGATCAGGCTGATGGTCCTGCGTTAGGCTCGAACCTGCGGACCTTTGTTTGCTGATGACTTTAATCAGAGTTGGAACAGGAAGTTCATGATCCGTCAGTGAATAATGGAGCAGATCAACCTGAAGGCCTCATGAGGCGGTAGAACTTTAGGTAAACATGGCTGGTTGGTGGCTTAGTGAGACCTGAAGCTCCATCCAGGAACCCCTTCCACCTGGATCTGTCGCCGCCATTTGTCCTGCTCCTCTCGTCTTCTTCTCTTTCTAACTTCCTGTCTCTTGTGTTTTGCAGAGGAAGCCGATTACTCCACGTTTGGGACAGACTCTCTGACCAGGAAGAAGAACACGGTACTTTCAGCGGTCCTTCTGCGGCCCGACCCAAACAAAAAGAAGCCTCCGGTCATCATCAGCCTCCCAAAAGACTTCCGGCCCGTATCGTCCATCATCGACGTGGACATCCTGCCGGAGACGCACAGGCGCGTCCGCCTGTATAAGCATGGCCAGGAGAAGCCACTGGGCTTCTACATCCGGGACGGGTCCAGCGTGCGGGTCACCCCTCAGGGTCTGGAGAAGGTCCCGGGGATTTTCATCTCCCGCCTGGTGCCGGGCGGGCTGGCAGAGAGCACCGGCCTGCTGGCCGTTAACGACGAGGTTCTGGAGGTCAACGGCATCGAGGTGGCGGGCAAGTCTCTGGACCAGGTGACGGACATGATGATCGCCAACAGCCACAACCTCATCATCACCGTGAAGCCCGCCAATCAGCGCAACAACATCGTCCGAGGAGGCGTCGCCTCGGGGAGTTCGGGCCGCTCCTCGGACAGCGGCGCCAGCTACCACGGCTACTCTGCCCACGCCGCCGCCGCCTCCGGACCGACGCACATCATCCAGAACTTCCCCGTCGGGGAGCTGGAGAGCGACGAGGATGACGAGGACCTGGTGATCGAGGTGGGGGGGGAGGCAGAGGGCGTCGGACGCTCCGCCTCTGACCACAGCGTGCCCTCTCTGCCGCGCTACGAACCTCACCTCAACCTGCGCTCCGCCGGCAGCTCCGGCTCCGCCTTCTCCGCTAACGCCAACGGCTCGCTGCGCGGCAGCAGTGGCTCGCTAAATAACGCCAACACCAGCTCCGCCACTCCGTCCCCCGACAGGGCGAAGGAGAGGCGGAGCCTGGAGGAGGAAGGGACTGTCATCACACTGTAGGCCGCGCGTCCCTCACTGACCACTGGAGGGCGGCAGAGCAGCCGGTAAACAGCAGGCTGCTGCGGCGCCATAGTGGTGAATTGAACTTTAATCACTGCGTCCTGATTGGATCTAGTTCAGGGAACTGCTTCCTGTGAGCGGCCGGGATTCCCTGAATCTCAGATTATTTCCTGAAACATTTAGCTGCACCTCTGGAAAAGATGAAGCTGAGTCCTTTTTCCTGCTAACATGTCAGAACGTTGACCTGTCTCCATGTTCTGGCCCCGTACTGCCGGGAGATTTAGCTTCAAATCTAATCACATTTTGTTTTTCTACCCTTAAAGTTCAGAATGAAAATGAAAATGATGTGGGGGGGGGGCGTTAAAAAAGAAATGTTCCTGACCCAGCTCCCATGTCAGAGGATGAAGAGAGCACATCCAGTTAGTCACAGTCAGAGAAACAGGACTACACTGGAAAACAGGCCAAGCTCCAACATCTAGAAACAAAGGTCCTGTCCTTTTCATGACTCAGATCAAACATCTGTAAATCAGAAACCATCAATTAGTTCACTGCTGTCATTTTCCACTTAATCTATAGAAATATAAATAACCTTACATGCTAAATTCCAGCTGGGTCAAATAACTGGAAATGGGTCAGAGGCATAAGTTATTGAACGCCCCTCCTATTTCACTTTAAAAAAGCTTTAACTTCAACCCCCCCTCTGGGAGGTGAGCTTTCAAAATGCTGTTAAATAGTGGTGTCTCACAGAAAGAGGATTTATTGGTGCAGATCTAAAAACAAACATGAAGAACCGACGTCCCTCTGAGCTACGGAGTTCAGGGGAAGAAAATCTGGATTTTACACAAATCTTCAGAATGTTGATCAAATCACTGAACGGCCCAGCCCTGGCTTCCAGCATGGTGGAGGATCTGTGGTGCTGTGGGCCTGACATGGCATTCGATTAGAAAGGAGAAAGTTTGATCCAAACAGAAACGGATCAGAAAGCTGCATTTATCTCAGCTTTGTGCTCCTTTCCTGCTCTTTCCCAGAGGTGCCAGTTTTTACACCTGAAGTCTTTCCTTCCTTCGACTTGATTCAGTTCTAGCAGCTCTGCTGTCAGCGTAGGTAAATACAGGTGAGCGGGATGACGTGAGCGTCCGTGTCCCACCTGAGGCTGAGTCACGTCCAAACAGCAGCTGAGCTAAACTGATTCTCTTCCCTGTTTGTTAAAGGCGAGGCCTTTCTGTGGCGCTCAGGCTGCTTCTGCTTAAAGGAAAAGTCCAGCAAGGAAAAATCAATGATCAATATTTATACCTGAGACTAATACGTTCACAGTGATTTAATGAATTTAGCTTTAATCAGTAAAAAAATATAAATAATTTCCATTGCAATCACTGAGTCTGGGAGCGGCCATTTTTGCCCAAATATAGTAGCCCCTCCCTCCTGCCATCTTCCAGCAGTGACGTCACGGTGCGGTAAGCCTAGCGCCATTCTCCCCGCTTTCCAAGCTAAATCAATGGGAACTACTAGACACATCTGCAATCAACAACAATTATTGAAGATTTCCAGAGGACTTCACCATTGAAATTCACCAGAGCTATAGTGAAACTGACAATGCCCACGTGCATGGCAGCTGGATGCTGGAATACATCGGGGAAAAGTGGAAAAAAGAGTTATTCCACCTTTCTGATTCCTGATCCTCCACGGACGGGTTGGTCGTTGGATCGCCAACTTGAAGAGGGAGGATTTGCCATCGAACTTCTGGCCAGAGAAAAAACCCGTAATATGTAGCCAACATTTGGAAGAAGAATGTTTTCAAGATGACTTGGATAATAGCGCGTTGTGACAAACACCAGATACAGCACTGGGACTTGATCAACAGCCGATACCGCACCGTGACAATGTCACTAACCAGTAGGTGGCAGTAGTGTTCTTTGACAAACATGGATGCCTCCAGTAAAGCACATTCACATGAAAATTACTCTGAATTAAAAACATTTATTGAACAGGATGGAATCATTTCAGATTTAAAGAACTTTCAGAAGTTTGGATTCTGAATATGAGCGACTTTTCCTTTAAAGCTGGAAGGAAATAACCCAAGAATTGGGTCCAACCACCAGGGGGCGCCTTTTAGACCCCGCCTGTGTTTTTACGCTTTATCTCATAAACTTCCAGCTTTTTATCGCTTGCGACTTTTAAAAGTCAGTAATCTGGACGTGAATTCTCTTTTAGGCTGAAGCGTCTGTGATCAGCTGGAACGTTAGCTTAGAGCTAAAAGAAATGAGATCCAAACCGGTTTAGACTGATTATGCAGTCCATCAGTGAAGGAGCAGCAGATTTAATCTTTTCCTGTTGCAAAACTAAACAGATTCATGTGGCTGATGAGCCTCAGACTGTAAAAATAAAAATGTTTTCAAGCCAAAGAATGAAAGTGAGACAGTTTAGCTTCAGAGAGCTAAAGATGTGGATCAGTTAAATCCACTGAAGAGGCCTTAAGGAACCTGCTGGAACATCTGGACGTCTGCTGGGGCTCCATGGAGCTCATCGTCACATGTTGTCATTGTAACTGGAAGCTTCTCCAGAACCGTCTGCATGGAGAGGATCTGTGGCTGAGCACTGCTAAAGATGAAGAGCAGCCGCCATGATGTGTGTAGAGCGTCATGGTCAGCATCTGCGTGGCGAGGATCCGCCTCCAACGGCGTTCCTGAGAATCCTAACCTGACGTTTCAGAAGAAACTCCTGGTTTCTGTTCGGTTCTGTTAGTGTTTGGCCAAGGTCACCTGTTTGGTTTCCCTCCTTCTCTTTGAGAAGAAATGGCGCCCTCTGCTGGATCCAGGCGGTTTGATTATTTTAAACGTCACTGTATTTAGAATAAAATCATTTTAATTCCGGTGGAATCAATCAGAATCATCTTTTAGGGAACAAATCATGTGAAGGGAACCTCCAGATTATGGGATTAGTGCATTAATCTGATCTCCAGACTGACTCTAAGGTTGTTAGAGGAGGAGCCAAACGGCCCCTTACAGCAAATCCATTGATGACTGCAATATTTCTCTGCATTGTAAAAAACCCGACCTATGACTGATTAAAGCCGATGTTCCTGCAGCACAGGGACGAAAGCAGATGTTCACAGGGTACTCTGGAGGTTTGGACCCTGAGGGTCCAGGTGAGGCTGGTTTTGGTTTTCATGGAAATCTTTAGTAATTATTGCTAATTTTGTAGCCTTATATCTGAACTTCAGCACAGGACACTGGGATTGTAACCACACCAACTGTTTTATTTATTCTGTAATCTTTCAACTTTGTTTTTTTTTTTTCTTTGTACCCATTTTAAAATATATATATATATATATATATATATATATATTTGGTCGTAAATCTCAAGGTACGTTAGAGTTTTCTCTACAGCAAATTTCAGTGGATTTCGCTTCTCTGGTTGAAGAATGGGTGGAAATCTGCATCGAATTAACACTACTTCTGATTTCTCATACTGTGAATTATTATTTTTGGGTGACGGTTGTATTAGCAGCCACATCAAAGGCAGATGTTTCGCTTTCAGTCTGTTTTTAAATGATTTTCTTTTTTTTTAGCCAGATATAGATTTATAATGAAGAATGTCAGTATTTTCATATCGATGCTTAATGATGTACATTTTTATCATCTGAAGGAAAATGTTTAAACTGGAGATTTAAGAAAAGGTAGATGTTGACCTGTAACTGCTGACCGGCCGAAGCTGGACTGGACACCATAAACTAATATGTAGCAATATTCACTGGTTTGGTCTTTTTTTTAATCATGTGAAGGTTGTTCTGGATTGTTCTACCCACTGATCTCTATTTATTCACTGGATTGCTGATTGGCTGAAAAAGTGAAGCCATATTGGTACTCCCCTCTCCCACAGAGACGCGCAGTGAAAATGCCTCCCTGATCAGCATTTGGCTGCAGAAACCAGCAGTTTTCTGTCTGCAGGGAGACGTTCCACAGGTCATTTCCCAGTCAGTGGATGAACTAAGCAATAAATCCATCTACAGGTCCTTCTCAAAGTATTAGCATATTGTGAGAAAGTTGATTATTTTCCATAATGTAATGATAAAACTTGAACATTCATATATTTTAGATTCATTGCACACTAACTGAAATATTTCAGGTCTTTTATTGTCTTCATAGGGATGATTTTAGCAGACAGCTCATGAAAACCCAACATTCCTATCTTACCAAATTAACATATAATGATAAAGGTCTCTAAACGAGCTGCTATGCACCTAATCATCTGAATCAACAAATTAAGTCTAAACATCTGAAAAAGATTCCTGAGGCCTTTAAAACTCCCAGCCTGGTTCATCACTCAGACCCCAATCATGGGTCAGACTGCCGACCTGCCTGCTGTCCAGAACGCCATCATTGACACCCTCAGCCAGAGGCTCAGACACAGAAAGACATTTCTGAACCAATAGGCTGTTCCCAGAGTGCTGCTGCATCAAGGCGCCTCAGTGGGAAGGAAAAAGTGGCAGAAAACGCTGCACAACCAGAAGAGGTGACCGGACCCTGAGGAAGATTGTGGAGAAGGGCCGATTCCAGACCTTGGGGGACCTGTGGAAGCAGTGGAGTCTGGAGTAGAAACATCCAGAGCCACTTTGCACAGGCGTGTGCAGGAAATCCAATCCAATCCACTTTATTTATATAGCACAGTTTAAATAAACACAAGGTTTCCAAAGTGCTGCACAAAAAGATAAAATAACTAAAATGGACTGAAATGGGCTACAGGTGCCGCATTCCCCAGGTCAAGCCACCTTTGAACCAGAAACAGCGGCAGAGACGCCTGACCCGGGCTACAGAGAAGCAGCACTGGACTGTTGCTCAGTTTTGCACGTCATTTGGAAATCAAGGTGCCAGAGTCTGGAGGACCCAACACTTTGGATGAGCTAAATGCCGCTATGGAAGCATCCTGGGCCTCCATAACACCTCAGCAGAGCCACAGGCTGATGGCCTCCATGCCACGCCACATTGAAGCAGTCATTTCTGCTAAAGGATTCCCCACCACGTGGGTGTTGACCACGTGGGAAACATGGTCAACACCCACGTAGGAAACGACAGTGACACCTGGAGGGGCGTGATCGGGAGTGGTGTCTCATTATTGGACTTCTGTGCAATATTCTGGGCATAAGGATGTCCATCAGTGCACTTGGCACCAGGACACCCTAGGCCGAAGGTCGATGATCGACTTTGTAGTCGTATCTTCTGATCTTCGGCCGCATGTCTTGGACACTCGGGTGAAGAGAGGGGCGCAGCTGTCCACCGACCACCACCTGGTGGTGAGGCCCAAACGAGTAGTGAGGGTCTGCTGGGAACGTCTGGTGGAACCCTCGATCAGGG